ACGTTCTATCCTCTTATAGCTCTCCCAAGTTCAATTCAGACAAGATGTTTATTTTAGTGGTGATCAAGCACGAAATACGAAAACAAGAACATAAGATTGATTAATGTGATAATTAACTTCAATCCATAAAAACGTCAATAAAATACAATCATCCAGTAGCCACAGCCCTATAACTAGGGAAATTAGCTACTCATATCAAGAATCTTGATTATACGATGTTTAAATAACATAAAGAGATAAAAAATAGAAGAGTTTAGGAATGAACCCTAAGAACAGATGAGAAAGCTCCCAAAATCATCGTTCTTTCAAACCCAGAAAAAGAAAAAAATTCTAAAATAAAAATCTAAGTCTATTTATATTTAATCGAAATCGACCAAATCTGGCAAGGAAGTCTGCGACGCGGAGGGGTCTCCAAAATCCAGTTCTTGGAAATCTTCTCTTCTCCACGATGGGTGCACAATACGAATTGTGCTGTTCCAACTCTATTTTGCAAACAAATAATAAAATCTCTCTCCGCGGACATGACCTGTTCTTCATTTTTCATTCTCCTTTCTTGCTATTTTTTTACTTGGATCCTTTTGTGCTTCCCAATGCTTGTTTCAGTGATCCTTTCTTCATTTAACTTCACCTACACAATTAGTCATAATGGTTAGTCTAAATGAATTCAAATGACTCGACACTACTATCAATTAGTAAAGAATGACTCTGAACTTGGCCAAAATATGGGTGTTATTTGGTTCTTAAGCATACAAATATGCCCAAGATCACCATCCCACACTTAGAGCTTTGTTCGTCCTCGAACAACTTACCACACTAATCGTAGACCTAGACTCCCTAACACTGGTATTTGTGCATCCGCCACTTCCTTTCAAGGATCTTTTATCAGTTCAAACATGCATGTTCTCATTTACAGGTGGCCTTGACCACTTTCATACATCATACATCTCAAGTACTGACTCGATAAATTTTTGCAACCAAAGCATTAAACTTCATGTTCACCATTAGATATCACCTATCTTTCATACAACAAGTGCCCCTCACTCCAAGAAATAGTCCGCACACTCAACTCATCAGATTGAATATAGTTTAAGGATTTTAACAACACAGAACACTCTCACTTAAAAAGAACATCTCGCATGTATGCACTGAGAACAATAAGCTTGCCCATTATGTACGTCTTCACTAATTAAGCGTGTTTTGCAAAGAATCAAAAAGGGATTTTCTAGGTTGTAATGTCGGCTAAAGGACAGGTAGGAATAAGTATATAGTAGTGACTTACACTTACCTAAGAACTTTGCACTTTTAAGACATCATTAGCCTTTCCTTTATTTATCAGCCCTCTCTCAACATTTCTATCACACATGATTTACATACTTCTCAAATTGCCCCTCATTTCTTTTATTCCAAGAACCAACTTTTTTTATGATACTTTTATTCTCTTACTGAGGGTCTTTTCTATTACTTTGTGTCTATTTCGGGTTGCCTCTTCACTTTCCATTTTACTAAATCCACAACAGTCTATGCTACAATGCTTTGGCAAGCAGGGTGCAAACAACTTAGATATTTAATAAAGTGATGTCAGGTGAAAATGTGGCTGCTAATAAAAGGCTACAGGCTCGACAAGGCTACAATTGATAGTATCTGAAAGGCTAAGCTTTTTGAACATATTAAAGGAGGCCTATTATCATTTCCTACACAAAGCAACACTTCAATTTTGCTTCAATAACACGCCAGGCAAGTTCTAGACTCAGATGCACTACACAGACATCGCTCATGGCACAAGTTCTAATCAAGTTGGATCAATCACAGGAAACACAATCAGCTCATGAAAAAGTTATATTTAAGCTTAAGTTGCAGTCATTACAATCAAGTACAAGAATTCAAATGCATTCATATATATGGAATTTCAAGTTTCAGCACACATAACATACCTATGACTCAATGATGAAAACTCCCCTTAATATGGTCGCCATCCATCTATCATAGGGCAATGCGACTCAACTACGACGACTGACTTGATCCTAGAAAGACAAAATATTTTTGTGTTTTGTACGGCTCAAAGGGACTCTCCTTGGCCAAAGAACCGAAAACAACCTCCAAGGAACCCAAATAAAAAAATAAAATAAAAGACAGACAAAAGACACTACCCATGTTCAACTAATATATACAATACATAGAAAATTACACCCCACCCCACACTTGAAATATTAGAAGTATCCCCAGTGCTACACAAAATCACAAAATAAGAACAGAGGTAAGGTGAATCATTCCCTGATCAGTCCTCCATGGTATCTCCGCCTTCGACCTCATCACCGGCCTGTGCAGGGTCAACCTCCTCAGTGTCAGAATCGGAGTCCACATCAGAACAAGTGCGCAGCCTGTCCTCATCTATCGATATATCATCATCCGCATGCTCATGGAACTCAGGACTGATGCCTAGCAACGCTTTGGCATGCATATTCAATGGGTACCTCCTTTCAACCTTCCCCAATTGCTCCACAGTCGACGCCCGGCATCCATTTTGGTGGCGCAACATCTCCAGCCCATACATACGGGCCATAATCAACTCATCACGGCGATGGCGCTCCGTAGTGGTGAGTGGTGGGCCGAACTCATTGTCAGACCCTTTTGTCTTTGTTATATCCACTAGCACTGGGAAAAGTGGTGCCATATAATCCAAGCTTTCCTATGGTACACCTGCAGCATAACACAACTGAGTAATGATACCTCCAAAAGCATACCTACGCCCTTTGTGAACTCGGGCCTTCCTCATGGCAGATTTCAACACTGCCCCTATATTCAACTCAGTATTAGTGATCAAGGCGTAAACCAAGCACACTCTATCACGTGTGATGTCTGTGTAGTGTAGCCCGGGTATCAAGCAATTCATGACTATTTTCAATCAGACCCGAGATTTTCTGCTCATGTGTGCATAAGGAAGAGACTGGTGGAACCTCTTTGCGCTCTGTTTTGTCCACTGAACAATCGACTGGGATCCACAAAGTGTGTGTCGGATGGCGCGATAGGGCGGTCGAATGTTCAACCCCGTTATCACCAAAGGGTCAGTATCAGGTGTTATGCCCACTATACCATTTAGAACTGTGGGAGTGATAGTGACATCAACTCAACGCACCTTCACAAAATGCAATCAAGACTCTGTCACCCAATTGGCATAGAATTTTAGGACCATGTGCAAGTTGCACTTGGTTGGCTCAGCAAAAATGAACTCCATATGAAGTTCTTTGATGTGCCTCATGATTCGTGGAAACTCCCGTGCCAAACTATCTCTTTCAATGCACACATCAGGGAAGTATCGTGCCTCTGTGTGTTTCTTCCACCACACTTTACCCTCTTTGACCACTGCTCGTAGTCCAAACCTTCAAGTTAGCTCCCGTGGGATTACGGTGTGGGAGGGACATTCCCCCTAATTCGGACTTGTTTCCTTTGGCTAGATGTTACCACCTCTTTGCTGGGTCGTTGACTACCTGGCATGATTGCCTGCAAATATAATATATTTCAGCCCAAAAAAACCAACAATACACGGAAAGGCATGGGTAACTCTGACTTCCCAATGGGTAACACGCAAACTCAATACCAAAACAAACAATCATAATGATACATTCAGATATCGCATTTAGTTACCACAACAGCGGTCAAGTACAACAACCTCAATCCCAGGACACGGACACAACAACTCACAATTCCACTCAAAGGTACACCCAGTGTTACTTTAGACTTCACACTAATACCCTCAAAATCCATGAAACACACGATCTCATTCATCAAACAAACCCCAAACCTTTTACCCTATCATGTTTAAACGACTAGTCTTCACCCAATACCCACATAATCTCAAGCAAAGGTAATTTCTACTCAAGAATTTGAAATACTCATAAATATCAACATACATCACTTCCATCTACTACCAATTACACCCCCAACTTCCTAAGAAAAAAAATACACTAACCCACAACAACAACATGCAAAAATGCCCAACTATCGCACAAAAAAGACGACAAAATATGTACCTTGAATGTTGAAAATGAGGAGAATCAGTAGAGAGAGATGGAATTGTCATCGCGTTATGGATTGAACCTTGAAAATTTGCAAGGGGAGAAGGGGACGGAAGAATAATCGTTATTTGGGGAGAAAATGGGGGATTGAGGGTAGAAATTGGGGTTAAAAGGGACTTGGGTCGTGTGTTTTGAAGGAAAATGGGTAAGACCCATCTTTTTAATGAAAACCAAAAGAAACTTACCTTCTCTGCGACGCGACTCCATTACGGAGTGTTCTACCTCACGAAAATAAATTAATTCCCATTGAAATCAAATTTCTAGACATCCTCCGCGACGCGGCTCCATTACGGAGCTCCCTTATTTTTGATGAAAAAATCAATTCTCGTCGAATCCAATATTCTTGGTGTACTCTGCGATGTGTGCACGGTACAAAGTGTTCTGCCTCACCCTAGAAAATTAAATCCTAGCGAGGTGAAATTCTTACCTTGCTTTGCGACGCACACCCATTACGGAGGCTTCTGTTTCGCGCGATTAATGATTTCCTAACAAAATCAAATTTGGGGCACTCTTCTGCAACGCGCTATGGGTGCAAGTTCATGTTCCCTGCACGTTGTAAGCGCAACACCCATTAATCCAAACCCGATGGGTTGCCTCACATCTAGCGCTTTCGTTTTGGTCGTGGCACGACTCATTATTTTGTATTTTCTTGATATATCAAACTTCTTCTTTTTAAACTCAAAAATAACTCATATGAATTTAAATAACAAAACGAAAAGCCAGAAATCCTATTTATCATATGGGGTCACGGGTTGCCTCCCGTGTAGCGCCTGATTTAACGTCGCGGCACGACCTAGCTCATGACTCACTCATCATTCAAGCTAACCAATTCTTGATCACAATCAATGTTATTCCCGAAGTAGTGTTTCACTCTTTGCCCATTTACTAGAAAAGTGGAGTTCTTCTCCTTGTTCTTAGCTCCACGGCTCAATATTGGGTCATCCTCACCACCTCAAACGGCCCACTCAACTTAGACCAAAGTTTTCTTGGGAACAACTTTAATCTTGAATTGAATAGTAACACCAATTGGCCAGGCTCAAATGGGTGTGACAAAATATGATTGTCATGCCACTTCCTAGTCTTCTCTTTGTATAGCTTGGCATTTTCGTACGCGTGGAGCCTGAATTCCTCTAGCTTATGCAGTTGTGTTATTCTTTTCTTGCTTTCTAATTCAGGGTCAAGATTGAACTTATCTATAGCCCAGTATGCTTGATGCTCCAATTCCGCTAGAAGGTAACATGCTTTCCCAAACACCATTCGATAAGGAGAAGTCCCTATCAGTGTCTTGTATGCAGTCATGTATTCCCACAAAGCATCATCTAACTTGTCTGCCCAATCTTTCCTTTGTGCATTCACAATCTTCTCCAAAATTTGCTTTACTTCTCTATTGGACAGTTCCACTCTACCGCTAGTCTGATGATAGGTTATGGCTACCTTGTGTCGCACTCCATATTTAGCCAAAAAAAAATTGCGCCAAACTGTTTATGAAATGCTTACCTCCATTACTTATCATGGCCCTTGGATTTATGAACCTGGTGAAGATGTACTTCCTGATGAACTTTACAACCACCTTTGCATCATTAGTAGGTAAAGCAAACGCCTCAACCCACTTGGACACATAATCCACTGCCACAAGTATGTATTGATTACCTTTGGATGCCAGGAACGATCCCATGAAGTCTATCCTCCATACATCAAAGATCTCAACCTCTAGGATGTTGATTAACGACATCTCATGTCTTCTAGAAATAGTGCCCATTAGCTGACACTGATCACAACCCTTCACAAAAATCACAACATCTTTAAATAAAGTAGGCCAAAAGAAACCAGATTGCAAAACCTTATGCGTCGTACGCTCGCCTCCGTGATGCCCACCATATGGTAAAGAGTGACAACTCTCCAACATTTGCAATCTGACATTAATCACAACCCTTCACAAAAAATCGCAGCATCTTTAAATAGTAGGCCAAAAGAAATCGGATTACAATACCTTGTGCACCGTGCGCTCGCCTCTGTGGTGCCCACCATATGGTGAAGAGTGACAACTCTCCAATACCTACATCGCCTCATTTTCCGTTGTACACCTTTGCACCACCTGGTCTGGTCCTTGCTTGAATAAGAAAGTCTCATCCCACATATAAAACCGAGCCTCATGTTTCAGCTTTTGCCTCTGATGTGTTGAAGCCCCAGGTGAAAATAAACCACTCACCAGAAAGTTTACAATATCAGCATACCAAGGTACTTGTGCAATGTCCAAGGCTAGCAATTGCTCATCAGGAAATTCTTCACAAATTTGTTCTTCATTCCAATCTTGAAAAATGATCGGCTATCTGGTTCTCAGTCCCCTTCCTATCTCTAATCTCCAGATCAAACTCTTGCAGGAGTAATATCCATCTAATCAGCCTTGATTTGCATCCTTCTTGTTGAATAAATACCTCATCGCAACATGATCAATGTGAAAAACAATCTTGGTGCCTACCAAGTAAGAACGAAACTTATCAAAAGCAAACAATAGCGCGAGCATCTCCTTTTCTGTGACAGTGTAGTTTGATTGTGTTGTATCCAGAGTCTTGCTAGCATAATAGATGTAGTGAAACATCTTATCCTTACACTGTCCTAGCACTGCACCAACCGATGTATCGCTAGCATCACACATGAGCTCGAAGGGTAGCTCCCAATTTGGAGCAATCAAAATAGGAGCTTCGATCAACTTCTTCTTCAACATCTCAAAAGCCTGCAAACAACTTTCATTAAATGCAAATTTCACCTCTTTTTCCAATAAACTGCACATGGGTCTTCCTGTCTTAGAAAAATCCTTGATGAATCTTGTATAAAACCCGGCATGTCCCAGAAAACTTCGGACTCCCTTCACAGTGATGGGTGGTGGCAACTTCTCAATTACCTCCGCTTTAGCTTTATCAACTTTCAGCCCATTTCTTAAAATTTTGTGCCCTAGTACAATCCCTTCTCGAACCAGGAAGTGGCACTTTTCCCAATTCAACAACATATGTGTCTCTTCACACCTCGCAAGGACCTTGTCGGGATTATGCAAACAAAGGTCAAAAGACTCACCAACCACTGAGAAGTCATCCATGAACACCTCAACAAAATCCTCCACCATATCATGGAATATTGCCATCATGCATCTTTAGAATGTAGCTAATGCATTGCACAATCCGAATGGCATATGTTTGAATGCATAGGTGCCATACGGACAAGTGAAGGTTGTCTTTTCTTGATCCTCTAGTGCAATGACTATCTGATTGTAGCCTGAGTAGCCATCCAAGAAGCAGTAATTTTCTTTTCCTACCAGTCTATCCAACATCTGAACAATGAATGGCATAGGATAATGGTCATTTGTGGTGGCATCATTCAACTTTCTATAGTCCATGCAAATACGCCACCCAGTTACTGTGCTTGTGTGGATCAATTCATTCTTCTCATTCTTCACCACTGTTATACCGCCCTTTTTGGGCACACATTGCATCGAACTCACCCATTTGTTGTCAGATATGGGATACACTATCCCCATATATAGCCACTTGATCACCTCTTTTCTTACCACATCCTTCATGACTGGATTGAGTCTATGTTGGTGTTGTGCACTCGGCTTGTGACCTTCCTCTATGTAAATCCTGTGCATACACAATGTTGGACTTATCCCGTGAAGTTCGGACATCTGCCAGCCTAAAGTTGCTTTCCTCTTCCTCTCTATACTCAATTCTTCTTCAACCTGTGGTTCATACACAGACAAAATCATAGGTAAGGTCTTATCTTTACCCGAAAATGCATACCTTAGGTGAGTTGGCAATGTTTTTAGCTCCAACTTAGGTGCTTCTTCAATGAAAGATTTGGGTGGAGGACCCAACACCCTATTTAATGGCTCCGAGTAATATCTTAATATGCCCACAATCGACACATCCATAAACTGTACCATCTCTTCTGCTTCAGCATCCCCATAAATATCATGTCCCACTAACACACGCTCCAACAGGTCCTTGGATGCCATGTAATGAGCTTAGTCTTCAAGATCTACCACTATTATAGCAGACAATTCTTCATACATGGTCGGCAGTTTCAATACCTTGTAGATATCAAACACTTCAACTTTGTCATGCGCCCGCATAGTCAATTGATCGGCTGCTACATCTATCATAGTACGCCATGTGGCCAAGAAAGGTCTTCCAAGGATGAAAGGAAACTTAGGATCTGGCTCAAAATTCATCACCAAAAAATCTACTGGAATATCACGGATCCCACCTGGACCAAGACATCCTCTACCACACCCTCTGGTCTAGCCACTAATCGATCTGCCAACTGCAAGATAATGGTGGTGGGTTTAGGACTACCCAAACCCAATTTCTTATACAGTAATGTTGGCATCTGGTTTATACTCTCCCCGAGGTAACACAACCCTCATGCATGGATCCTCTGCCCTATGGTGATCTGAACCGTAAAGCTATCCGGATCTTTCAGTTTGGTGGGCAACTTATTTTGGATTCTGGAGTTGCACTCTTAAGTGCCATTGTTTCATATTTGGTCAACCTCCTCTTATTTTCCCCAATCTCCTTTACATATTTGGCATACCTAGGTATACCCTACAAAACATCTACCAAAGGCAAGTTAATGTGAACTTGTTTTAATAGAGAGAGGAACTTACCAAAACAATTATCCTCTTTCTGTTTTTTCAACTTCTGAGGAAATGGTGGAAGTGGTTTTACTATTGGTTGCACTATTTCTTCTTATGCAACAATCTCACTCTCCTTGGGTTCACCCTCTTTGCTTGCAGATTCAACATTTTGCTTCGTCGGAGCCAACTCCTCCAACTGCAACCCACTACGTGTACCTACCACATTCACTTGCCTGGGATTTGGATCAGTATTTATCGGCAAACCTCCTTGAGGTCGTGAGTTTTGAGCACTATTAAATTGCCCAAATTGTTTCTCTAGATTTTGGGTTGCTAACTAATAATTTCTCACATCAGCGGCTAGTTGAGCTTGTTCAGCCATGATCTTCTTCAGCATCTCCTCTTTTCTCATGCTACTCTACTGATTAGTAGGTCGATCTTGTTGGACTTGTTGTTGATAATCATGTACATTCCCCTGGGTCTATATTGGTTCTGACCTTGAGTCTGATTTTGATTTCCTCCCCAAGAAAAAATTGGATGATTTCACCAACTGGGATTATAGGAGTTACCATAATTCTGATGACCTCCTCCACGTTGTGCATTTCCTACAAAGTTAAAAGAATCTGGGTTTGCCCCACATACCTTTGCATTGTGGTCTCCACCTCCACAAATCTCACACCATGTAGGTGGTTGTTGTACCACATTTACTGAGCCTGCTTCTGTCTTAGCGATAGGTTGCTAAAGTGTGTATTCATCATATTCTGCATCGCAGCAATTTGTGTAGTTAACGTTGTTACTGTATCTACTTCCAACATTCCAGCAGTCTTTTGTACTACTGGTTTGGATCTTCCTCCATTCCACTCGGGATTACCTTGTGAAATTCTATTTAGCAAGGTGAACAACTCAACATATGTCTTCTCCAGAGCCTGTCCACCTGCAGCTGAATCAAGTAAAATTTTGGTGTTGGGCGCTAACCCTTCAATGAAGGTGTGGACCAATACCTCGTTAGCCTGATGATGGTGCAGACATCTCAGCAACATGGACTTAAACATGTCCCAAGCCTGGTACAAGTTTTCTCCTCCTTTTTGTCAGAAGCTTAATATGTCACTCCTCAACTCAGTTGATTTCCCATATGGGAAAAACCTTATAAGGAACTTATGTGCAAGACCTTCCCATGGTGTTATGGAGTTCGCAGTCTCAAAATTCAACCATCGTTTTGCTTCCCCTAGCAGAGAAAAGGGAAATAAGGTGAGCCTCACGTAATCTGAGTTCATTCCCATTGGAATGTAAGTGTCACTGATTTTGAGGAAATTCTGGATATGAACTTATGGATCCTCGTGCGATAAACCAGTGAACTATCCATTCCTGTGCAATAGTTGCACCATGCTCTGCTTCAGTTCAAATCTTCCACCAACTTCAGGTTTCTGGATGCATGAAGTAACACTAGTGGTACGTGGTATTGCTACGTCTCTCACTTTCATCTCGGCCATCACTACAGGTTCTTCTTGTTCAACTCTTGCTACAGGAGTTACTGGTTCACTAGCAACAAGAGGGACTGCGTAAGTGAGTCGTCTTTGCCTTCTCTGGTAATGAACAAATATTTCGGGTTCAGCTAGAGGCTCCACCAAGTCCTGGTCGTCTTCCAGTTTGAAAATTCAACACAACCTAGAAAATGAATAGCTAAGATCAAGTTGTCAACACTTGCTTTCTAACTTCAGAAATTAGACAAATCAAATATCTTTTAATTCTTAAGTCCCCTGCAGCGGCGCCAAAAACTTGTTGCTCCCAATTGCACAAGCAAGTGTACGTGATCGCGCAAGTAATATAGTGGCTCTTAAGAGAACCGGATTATTGAACCCAAAGGACTTGTCAAATTAACTATTTATTAAATTATACTAGTCTAAATATTTGTTTAAGAGTGCCAAAAGAATTTGAATTTTATTTGTAAAGAAAAGAATGCAGGAATGACATAATAAAATTACTTACAGTGATTTGGAAAATTCCAGGGCTGCAGCATGTATAGGGTTTCATGTATCACATCTCATGCATGAATTAACTACAATTATCAAATTACTGATTTACAGAGTTGATTTTATGATCATGGTATCGCCATCTCTAATCGCCTACTCCAATTAGCTGTCTAACTACATCTTTGAGCGGAGATAGGAAGTCCTAATTGCCGAGCATTTATATTTCATCCTGTTTGGTAATAAAGCTAGGTGTTCATCCGAGCGTCACTCTTAAACACAAATCAACTCAATTTAATTGAAGATCAAGCTTTATGTATCCTTTGGTCTATCTACCTTACCGTCTCCCAAGTTTAAGAGTAGACAAGAGATTTATTTCTATGGTGATCAAGCATGAAATACTAAAACAAGAATACAAAAGTAATTCAAAGTGATAACCAACATTAATTCAAAACAATCGATGTTCAACAATTACCCATAGCCACATCCCCAGAACAAGGGTCTTTAGCTACTAATGTCTAAGAAGAAGAAGAAAAGAATCCTAAAGATTATTGACAACTTTATATTTGATGCCCTATGATTGATCTCCCCTAATAATTATTGTTATGGACTATTTACAGAGTTAGAAACCCTAAATAAAATTACTAAATCCAAAACAAATTAGGAGACCAAAGAATTGTGCAACCGCCTCAACTCTATGTTGGCCACTTCATTCAGAAATTGCCACATGGCACAATTGACCTTAATTGATTCGCAATTTGCAATCTACTGTACTTTATATATTATATATTATTATAATGAAAATAATCCATTAAGTTGTCTTCTTGATTTCCTTCTTCAACCTTCCATCTTTAATTCGTTTTAAGTCCAAACTTCTTCAACTTTACACCAATTTATTCCTACAAATAAAATACACTGTTTAGCACAATCCATTAAATCCATGCTCAAAAAGGGTAAATAAAACTACTAAATGTGAGACAAACAATGATAATAAAATATATTTTTGGCCTCACATCAGACCCCTTTTAATTGTAGTTTGTTTTGTGTTTTGAATGATTGTAGTACTTTAGTTTTGGTTGTATAGTTCTCTTTTGGTTAAAGTGTATCTCTTGTTTATATTTCATTCTCTCTTGATTTTCCAACCCCCTATGAGTTTTAAATCGTGAAATGCTTGAAGTTTTCATTGATAATAGTTTGAGGATCGATTGTGTTCAATATCAATGTCTTGAATAGTACCCAAAATAAGCATGGTGTATAGTGTTGGTGTTGTGATAATGAAATCAATGTGGTTGCACTTTCGAGCGATCTCTTAAAATCTTTTGTTGACTAGTTTCATTTTGATGTGAGCTTTGCAATGAACATCGCATGTACACTTTTGATCTTTTTGGGATGTGGTAAATGAGTGTATTTCGAAGTGTCATGAGTGGTGAGGTCTTACTTGAAAGCATGTATGTGGAGTCCTAGAATTTGCCTGGTTAGTCTAATTGTTTGAATCTTGGT